AGTTCCATTAACACTTTTAAACACCTCAATCAGATCTCCTCTAACTCTTTTTTTTTTTTTTCAAGAGAATACAAGTCCAGAGATCTTAACCCATCTGCATACGTGTTGAGAAGATAAGGTAAATGTTCCGTAACTTCTTTGCCTTCAGAAACATCCAGCTGTTACAACTAGGAGGATTATTTCTCTCTTTTTTTAATCTTTCACATATTTGAAGGAGAAACTGTCAGTTTTATAGGAAAGAAATTGATGTCATTCACTGAATATTATTCACTAGTGTCATCAAATCAAGTTCACACCACTGTGGTAGATTAAACATCAATTACTTCTTTGTAAGTCTTTTATCATTAATTTACACTTTTCCCCCATTTTATTGTATTTCTGTTTGTTGTATGGGATGATTTTAGCATAGACTTATTTCTATTGTTGCTGATGGATCAAAGCAGGCCTACACTGACCTCTAGTTGATACTGTCAGTTAAACGTTGTTTTGGTCAAAATGATTAAACGTTGATTGTTCTAACAAACATTATAAAACATTTATATGAAATTATAGAGGAGAATTTCCCTTAAATGTGAAGATTTTCACTTGATCCTTTATTTTTTTAGAAATATGATTTATGTTTATATATAATACCTATTGTGCATGCAGTTCATTGTGCTATGATTTCATGTCACATCACAAATAGGCCTAACATTTTTTGACAAAATTAAATTTATTTGAAACATTTAGTCAATTCATTGTAATATCACATAATGTATAATATTGTTAGAGCTAACAATACTCACCCATTTAGTGTGAAGCTTGTGCATTAGTAAAACAAGTCTCGCACTGTGGTTAAATTAGCACTGTGATTGTTTGACCAGGGATAGTGATTTATTGCAGATGAAAGACAAGACAGTGTTGAATTTAAAAGGAAATAAAATGCTTTATTTAGTGAATAAGATCTGAAAATGGCAGCTAATTATCTAACAGTAAAACTATTTAAAATAAGAATGTAAATATAAAAAAAAGTTATCTCATGATCAGCAAGTGGAAGTAAGGTGGTATGAAGACTGGGCTTTCACAGAAAACCTTGGCTTTCTCAAGATGAAGTGAACTTCTTTAGAATCAGAGTGAATCTGAATCTGAAAGTGCCAAAACTGTATGTACAGTATACATTCTCTGTGTAGCTGACCAGTCAGAAAAAATGCAGAAATATCTTTGATCCATGTGAGTCATATGGTATACCCCCATACACATAATCAAGCAGGACACCATCCAACTATCCCATGAAACATCAGATAAGTTCCTTGACTAGTTTATCTGCAAAAAGTACCACCTCAGGCTGGATTTTGCAAATTATTTCAAGTTTGTATTGTATTATCTAAGGCTAATAACATGGGATACTAAATGAAAGTATTATTATAATTTCTTAGACATGCGGTGTAGGTTGGTATATGAGTTTGTATTGTATTATCTTAGGCTAATAACATGGGATACTAAGTGAAAGTATTATTATGATTTCTTAGACATGAGGTGTAGGTTGGTATATGAGAGTTTGTATTGTATTATCTCAGGCTAATAACATGGGATACTAAATGAAAGTATTATTATAATTTCTTAGACATGAGGTTTAGGTCGGTATATGAGAGTTTGTATTGTATTATCTTATTATAATAATACTTTCATTTAGTATCCCATGTTATTAGCCTCTCTTAGTTATGCAGAATAGGTTGGTATATGGAAACCTTTGTTATATTACTTTAGACTAATAATTTTTACCACTAAGTGAGAGCATTATTATAATATTTTAGACATCCAGCATAGGTTTGTATATGAGAACTTTTATTGTAATCATCCAGACATGCAGTGTAGGTTAGTACATGAGAACTCTTATTCTATTATCTTAGACTCATTATGATATTTATATAGATCATCATGTGGGACTACTAGTTATATTAAAGATGTGGTGCTATCAAGCGTAATGTGTGATTTAGCATAGATCACCATCTGTGGGACTTTTAGTGATGTTATGAAATGTAATTGGTGGTTTTAGTAAATATCATTCCCTGTGGGACTACTAGTAATGTTTGATATTATGTTATCAAATGGAACATGATTTTAGCAAGGAATGTCATCTGTTAGATGACTAGTGATGTTAAAGATTTTGTGTTATAAAATTAATGTCATTTTAATAGCAAATATTATATTGGAGTACTAGTGATGTTAGAGGTATGTTTTAGTAGAAATTATTAACACTGAGACTTAAAATTTGTTGTATTTCTAAAATACATTAGAAATGTGAAGAAAATTCAAATATAATGGATATATAGTTTATCAATTTTGTTATTATTTTGAAGAAAAAACCAGGAAATACTCAAGACTACAGTTTTATCAATCAAAGTTACTTTCTCAGTTGAACTGGCATGCACTTTTGGTGGCAGGATTGAAGTCACCAAACAAGAATATGACAGGTGTTCTTCCTATGTAAGTACTATATTTGTGTTTCTTCAGTATTTTGTATCTTTCAGAACACAAATGTGGCACATTATCTTAGCCACACCCATTTTTGCTACTTAACAACCAGTAGAAGTATTTGAATCCTTTCACTGTAAGCTATAAAATAAAATCATATTAATGCTCTAGCCCCATCTGGTGTCCTTAATCATTAATTTACTACCTCAAATCCTAACCTTAATGACTGTGTAATGACATTTGTTTTCTCTTTCTTCATTAAAACAGCTTTAGCTTTCAAACAGGGGTGTCGTATTTCTTTTAATTAACAAACTGAAAAAAAATCAATAAATTATAAATAATAATCAAACAGGGATGCCTTTCTTTAGGTGAGTATAGTACAAAAAAATATGGCTGTTGTAGTTTTCATGATATATTGATTTATCTGTTTGCTATATACAGTTGGATTAAACAGAAAGTAAATTAAAAGTTTTAGAATTAAAGTTAACTAGTATAAATGTTTTAGCTGATATCTTGTATAAAAAATATAAATATGTTTGTTCATAATACTTCATCATGAAAGAAGCTCCTAAATAGCTGTAGATTTAGAACATTGTTTGAAGATGTTCTTTCTAAATATCTAAGGCAGATTGAGAACATTATTTGAAGACAACATTTTTAAACATGTAAAGCAGATTCAAAGCATTGTTTGAAGATGGTCTTTTTAAACATCTAAGGCAGATTCAGAGTATTATTTGAAGAAGTTCTTTTTAAACATTTAAAGCAGAGTTTAAGTATTCTTTAGACAATAACATCTGATGACAGATATGTTGCAATTAAAACTAATGCATGTAAAGTAAATAGATAAAAAGAGAAACTAAAATTAATTGAGAAGGGGATAAGTATTTATGAAACTAAAAATATTACTGTATAAATACTAATAAATAAATGTAAAAATTATAAAAAAGTTTTTGTTCTTTTTCTTTTTTGAGTGTTCAGACACATTCTGTTGTCTAAGAAGTAGGAAAGTAACAGAGAGAATAATCACATTTATTCCTTTTGTGTACAAGCTGTATTGTTTCTTTTTTAATGGTCTTGTTGGTTAGAATATTTTTCCCCAAGTTTTTCTCAATCATTGTTTTGAATCCTATGAATAGGCTTCAAAGCTTATTCTGCTCGCATGCAGCTAAAATTACAGTTTAAGCAAACAATGCAACAATCACCTGATGTATTCCCAAATGATTTTCTAATCTGATGAGTAGTTGTTAGTGTGGTGCTAATTTGTTATAGTTAATTCAGAATGCTTTGTTTTATGGACTATAACAGCTTGTAAGTTCTTGCCAGACAATAAGATATAATGGATAAATTATAAAACAAAAAACAAGGCTGATGTCAAAAACAAAGACAACTAGATTTCTGTAGGACTGTTTTTATAAAGTTGGCTCTTATAATATTGTTAGAGACTAGTTTGATGATGATGGTATTTGTTAAGCTGTTACTTTGTAGCAATGGCATAATTAGGTTTTTATGCATCTGGGGCAAGTTTCATAAATTGACCTTCCCCCCCTCCACACACACACATACACCTTATATAATCATAAACCAAAAAACAATCCTGTTTATAAAAATACATGGGAAAATTTTCCCAAATAATATTATTGGATTTAGTTCTCAAATATCTCAGAATAGTTGGAGCTCTGTGTCCCTTCAGGGCTGCACCCAGGAAATCTGCCCCACTCAGCACTCCCAAGTAATGTTAGTGATATGAAGACACCCATTATTTCTTCCAGTGAATAAAACTGAGATCGTATATAGTGTAATAGATTCCAAAACTTCTAATAATGGCAGAACATTCATTCACAGGTGCACATACTTATCTTTGTTTTACATCCTACCTGAGAATAGTTCTAAGAAATAGTAATACTCTTCATGCAACAGTTAATTTCAAGTTTCATACAAGTTTTTTGTAGTTGTGCTCTTAAAAGACATTCTTATAGTTAAGACAAAACTTAAAACCTAATATTAAAATCTGATAGTAATTTAGGTAATTAAAAATTCACATACAAAAGAAGTTTTATATTCTTAAAAATACGATACCGGAGTAACTGAAGCCATAAATGATTTGATAAATGCTGAAGAATTTCCCACCACCATAATGTATTTTGTTTACATGTAACCTAAGAATTTTGATCTTGGAAGAAATAGAAGACTAGTAGTTTTTCCATGATGCTGATCACAAGGTTTTGTTTGAATCTTATTTGTTTATATCAAAACATTCAGAGAAACTGAGGGGTATAGTGCAAAATGAGAATAAACTTTTTGAATAAAAAAACAAACTAAATGCCTTTTAATTTTTATCCCCCAAAAAGATCCAATATAGTGAAAATTCTCTTTATTGGCCTAGTCCTTGTAGATAGAGGTAGTATCTAACATAATTACTTCTGAATGCTAAAACAGCTCAGAAGTGAAGTACAATGATCAATGACTCTATTGGTCAACTGTCAAGAAGAGAGTTACTGGAATAAATGTTCATTTATGAATTTCAAATTTTAAATTGAAATATGACTAATTGTGCTGTAATATGTAGCTTTTTCATGTTTATGTGCTGACAACTTGATTACACGGTCCTAGTTTTATAGAATTTGAAATATGATGGTAATTATATGAATGTACCTTAAGTTCAAATGATGTTTCAGAAATGTTACTCACATCTCTGCACCACAAAAAATTATTACCTTGTGTGCACTGCCATGTAATCTTTCATTAGTACGAGACCAAGTGGACACACCACTCGTTTAAGAAGTATGGCTGGGGTGTTAACTGGTTGATTAATCTTAGCAACATTTTAGCACCATGCAAAAGATTCTTGTGATGCTATGTTGTGCACTACCACCTTTCCTGACAATGAATACCACAATAACATTGAGTGAAGAGTATTTCCTGCTTGAAATAGATACAGTCTCCAACCAAGTGCTGCCTCACTAGGCTATCCTTACCTTATGGGTGCCACGGTCCATAGCCTTTCCCTTTCAGAAAAGAGCTCACCTTTGTAATTTCTTTCTCTGCACCAGTCCTTCCACCATCTTTGGTGTAGAATTCTAGCTCTTTCTGGTGCAGAGATGTGAAAAGCATTTGCCTTAATTGAAAATACACCATCTTTGGTGTAGAATTCTAGCTCTTTCTGGTGCAGAGATGTGTAAAGCATTTGCCTTAATTGAAAATGTATTTCATATAGATACCTCTTTGCACCACCTCTGACCCTTCCTTCTCATTTCTAGTGCATTTTGATTGCTTCATCAAGTATGGGTCTGTGTTCATGCCCTAGTGCTCATAGGGATTACTGCACGTGGAAGATGTGTTGGCTTCCTATTGGCTGTAGTCTAATGATAATTACATCATAGGCTAGTACAATACATATAAATACATGTAGGGGTGGGAACTTTGTTCAAGGCCTGTGACATGTGCAGAAATTTCACAGCAGTTTGTGTGAGGTAATAGCTGTCAGTGCTGCCATGAGATAAGTAACATGAGTTAATTGCTGTTAGTGGTGCAGTGAGGCAAGTATCTATCTGAAATACATTTTCAGTTAAGGAAAATGTTTTATTTATAAACATTCTTGATCATTTGTCAGTAAAGGTTTTATTAGATTAAGTTCTGATAAGGTACTCTCCCTCCACTCACAAGATTAGCTTTTCTCGTTTTGTGCTGCCCTCTATATGCAAACTTTTTTCAGAAATGCATGGCCACGAGCCTTCATCCTCCCTCTGTTGGAATCCAAAGTTCCAACACGTCTCTCACGCAAATCATCATGCATCACCTCTCCACCAATAGGAAAGCACTGCTATCACGTGATGCATGTGTCACTACCGAACTATCACTTCCCGTTTGGCAGCTGTTGAGTTCCGATGTTCTCTTATACATTATTTAGTTACCTTGAAGTGGTTTATTTTTTCCTTAAGTTTATTTCCAACACTTCACATTTGTGGAGTTAAAAATTTAATAAAGCATTACTTCCTCATGTTTCCCGTTTATGAATTCCGAAGTTACAATCACCACTTCGGGTTCTTCGGCAGCTTCTGATGCTGTATTTTCAGCCATGGACGTGGGCGATCCATCCTTATATGAGGGACCTATGCACGATGCCATTTTTGCGGTGTTATATGACTCCGTTCCTGAGTCTTTGGAGCTGTAGGTCATCTCTGCCCATCGACATTCTACCCTTACTAACTTGGTAACTCGTTTGTCACATTCTGGGCTGAGCATGGCACCGATTCCTGTCGGTTCGACGATTTACTTGATGATGCATAATCTGCCAATAGCAGTACTGGTGACTATGTGGACTGTTCGGACCCAGTGGGGGCTTTTGCATTGAATTTCATTCATTTGTGGGGACCTTTTCTCACCAATGTCTGGGTTCACAAGGTTCTCTTGGAGGGATTGGTTATCCTCTTTCTCTCCCTTCCTCCATTATCCAGTGTTCCCATTCCCTTCTCTTCTTCTCGGGATCCTTCACCATGCCAGAGTATGTCAGAGGCAGTTCAAGACCTCATCACACAACAGGCTTTCGAACCAACTCACCAGGTTCACGGGGGTTTTACTCCCACTTGTTTGTGGTTTCCAAGCATACTGGAGACTTTTATCCTGTCATCAATTTATCCCATCTCAATTATATGTTCACACTCCTCACTTTACATTGGAGACAATCCTTTCTCTTTGGTGGGCATTTTCTCTATGTCTTTAGATGACCAAGGTGGACATTTCTGGTGCTTACATCCTGTGGCAGAGCATTCCTGTTCATCATGGGGTTGTGTACCAGTTTCGTGCCATACCTTTCCGCCTAGTCTCAGCACCATACGTGTTTTGTCGTGTGGTCCATCTACTTTGCTCAACATATTAATACCATGGGATTGTGCTTCCATATTCATTTGAACGACTGACGACTTCTTGCTCATTCCGATTGGGTATCAGCCTGTCACACTTGTCAGCTCCTGGTTGAAGCTGCATGGATTGGATGGTTGGTCAAATTTGAGAAA